ATGTGTCGAACACTATAATGACGAAGGAATCATAACACAGAATGAGTTCTCATCTAAGCCGACATTTACGCTGATATTCCAGCAGGATAATCTAGATCGAATCAATCATGCAGCTGACAATCCATTGCTGATCAAGTTGTATATGCGCAAGCCTGAGGAACCGATACACTACGAGGATGAGGAGATGCAATTGGAAATGGAGACATCAGAATTATTGTCGATGCTAATAGAAAAAGTTGATATTGTTCCCAACGAAAGTGATGAGCTTGATCATTATGAGCCTAAATTCGAAATGATCCTCTTGTCTGTGGGCTATCTCGATATAATTAAGTTATTTGGCCATCACCGTTGTATGCTGCACGAACAACTCTATCTCTATCCAGTGCCCGATTGTCCACCGAAACTGCGCTACACAATCAAAACCGAATGGCATCTGTATACTCTCGTGCCCATTGTCAAGGAAGTGTCCTTCACTAATATGGCCTTCGTGATATTCGAGTCGATCTATAATTTGAAGGACGATTATATCATTGATATGGAGACTCTGAATGTACAGTTGAGCTTTCGATCCATGCAGCCGGTCGATCGTTCCGAATATCATGTGATACCCTGGTGTAGCTTTAACTTATTCACTGAATGCTGCATCGCCGAACAGGTAAACTTTCATGTATTCGAATACTTTCGCAAGACTGTGCCCGATAGCTGCGGCATTGGACTCAAGTCCAACATGGATGTGGAGATGCATAGGCTATTTTCCCAGCTGATGCGATCGGAGGATATGGACGTCAATTTTGATCTGATCAATGTAAAAGAGGATAACGCTCTGGTCTGTAATACCTTCCATCGCTATATACTCACCAAGAGCATGTCGGATACACTGTTCATGGCATTCGCCTGGCGGCGATATGTCATTGCTGTCGACGTCTTCAATATGACCCCAATGGAGAAAAAGGAGGGCAAGCGTGTGATTACAGCTATGGTCAATAAAAAAGTATTCTCAGGCGTTCTAGATCCAGCTATTCTACTCTACCCCGATGGTAAGTAATTGAAGTAATTGTTATCGAAAAAATTCATATGTATATAGGTTTATATTTAGATTATTTAGAGAGCATAAGGGTTAAAAACATGTACATATATTGTAAGATTATAAGATAAGAATGATAAATAGGAATAAAATTGGGCATTATCGATTCACATGATTTTAATAAAATATATCGGTGTAAATACCGAAGATCTCGAATTTCTGTAATCTGAGATATCAATAATTATTAATAAATATGGATACATACGAAAGGAGCTACATCTTGCACAGGGTAACTGTTATTCAATCATTGCGATAAATGAACTCTAAATTTTTTTTCAGTGCGTGGGATGCGCTTTGCTGTGGAGCTGAAGTACTTGGGCGTGAGAAAGAAGCCAGTCAAGACCAAGCCGGCAAGCATATTAAGTATTACCACTAACCAAAGAACCAGTGGTATTACTAATCCATCTGCTCGATTAACCGCTCAGTTAGAAGTGGATACGCCCACGTTTGCCATAATCAATCTATGCCAATTGGCCCCATTGGGACAGGTGTACGAGGAGCTGAAGACGTTCCATGCCAGTTTCATTAGTCAGAATCGTTTGCTTTTCTGCAAGAATAAACTAATCGAAGTGCCCTCATTGCCATTGAGCGAAATTCAGCGTTTGGCCTATGCCGATTTCGATACCTTCATACGGGAGACGATCCGCTATATACTTGACAAGCGGATATTCAATGTGCAGCAGAAACGAAATCATTTCTGCTGCGAACTACAGAATCTGACCAACATTTTGCTGAAAGTCGTCGGAAGTGACTTCAATACGCGCATGCGCACCAGCTCGAATGTCGAGTTTTCCGTTAGTCTAATCCATAATGCCTATTAATTATATAGTTTAATCTTAATAAAGCTATAGAATCTATGTGCCTTTGCACACAATGAGCTGGAGCAACGCATACACAATCTGCTGGAGAAGATCGAGGACGAGGGCCTCCACGAGCTCGTTGTAGACAGAGCTGTTCAAGAGGAGAAACTCATGGACTATTTGAATACCATCAAAATTATGAGAGCCGTTGGGGATCTGCGCATGGGCACTCTGTTCCTCAATAAGATCACTGGCTGGCTATCTGGCAATATGAACGATAAGTTCTTCACAGCGCGTCCAGTTAAGCATTAAGCTGGAGATCAACTTTTCCTTCATTTAATCAATTTCATTTAATTTTTCTTTTAGGAAAACTCAAATAGGTTTGTGAACCTATTTGAGTTCTTTGATATGATCAGCAAAGTGGAGCATGGCGAATATGCAGCAGCCAAAGCCTATTTCAAGACGCAGAAAGTTCTATCGGTTGACCTCGAATACTCTGCGTAAGTGAGCACACATTGAAAGATCCCTTGAAATGATCTAAAGCTAGAGCGTTTGTCCAGTGGTTGGATACGCATTTACCTGGACTATGTGGCCACGAGGGACGATCCAGAGCCGACGGTGTCGGCCAATGCGAATGAGTGTCTATTGAATAGCATAACCCTCTATGCGGAGCACTGCTCCAAACGGCCGGATGGCTGGATATTGCTCTACTGCTACTACAAGAGGTTCAACTATGCACCTGGCTATTCCTATGCTCGCTGGCGTCTCGAGAACTATGAGAAGGGGATAACTGTGCAGACTTCGTCGTCGCCGCACAACCTTTGGTCCATCATGCTAAATCACTGTCCGCGATTCGACCGTCAGCGTAGCTACAGTTTCTACGAGACCTTTATGCTGTTTGTGCGCTTGGGCCTATACGAGTTCGCTCAGGTCGTGTGGGAGGACGTGCAGGACGATTGCAGCCTAGCGGACAATTATATGATAAGCACACAATTGAAGATCTTTCTCAATCAACTGGAAGAGGACTTCGAAACGCAGACATTCTCATTCGAGGACATGGATGACGAGGATCTGCTGGTGAGACTTGGCCAACAATTTCTCAGTTGAGTTTAATTGAGGCTCAACTTCGTCTCTCTTCAGGCCGGCTTCAACGCCCAACTCAATGGCAATGTGGAATACCATCGCGGTAATATGGTTCTTGCTGCCGAATTCTATACAAAGAATTTGCTAGAGGAAGGCGCCCCTGTTCCCGAACGAGATGACTTCATGATCAGCAAATTACGCCTGGCCTACATAGCCTATGAGGCGGGCGACTATCAATTGACCATCGATGCTCTGAATCTGCCCAAAGTGGGTCGGCTGATTCCATTGGTGACCGGCTATTTAATGGGCAAGGCCTACTACAAACTGGAGGATATCAGCAGGGCCATGGAGTGCTTCATCAATTGCACCAAATTTGCTGAGCATGTGCCGGATGTTTGGGGCTTTTTGGCACTGATCAATCTCCAAATGGGCAACAACATGAATGCCATCTCATGCTGGAAATATGCCAGAGCTGTAAGACCTAATAACGATTGCTTTACCAACCTCAGTATTTATATTTGACTCATCTTTAATTTTAACTTTGTTCATCAATTACTCAGTATTACTGAGTCAGTAAGCCTCATATCTATTTTATTTATTCTATATTAT